CAGCCTTCTTGTTCTTGCCGTAAGGCTGGTCGGAAAGAGTGATGAATCTAGCTGGATTCAAGGAATTCGAGCTGACTCTGTTCGTTTTCAGCGGAATCTTCGAGGGAGACGTTAGCCGTTCCTTGGCCGGCGTTTTCCCAGGAGCGGGACCCTTCTCGTGGTTCTGTTTCTTCGCGTTCCAGGCGTGCCTCGATGGAGACGCGGCATACTTTTGGTGTTTCGACGGCGACAACCTCGTGGATTCCTTCGAACGGTCTCTTTTCGTGAACTTCGGCGTTCTTTCCGGCTTCGTCGGAGTTCCTTGGATCGGGGAAAGCTTGCTGGGCGTCTTCGTGGCCTGTCGACGGGAGGCGAGGTTCGTGACGCTGTTACTGTTTCCGGAGGCGTTCAAACGATTCCTGGAATCCGTCGTGTTCAAACGGGCCCGCGAGTCCACGCGGCGGCTGAGCTTCGGCGAGGAGAGACGCTCCGTCGACTTGCTGAGGGACGTCGAACGCTGCCGCGTTGGTTGGGGAATCAAGCTTTTCCTCGGGCTGCTCTGTTGCGACACTGAAACTGCAAATTAAAAGGAAAGGATCTTGATCGTTCCATTTTCTCCTTGCACGGTCACATACGTTTTCTTCGAACGACGTGGCGTGCTCGTTAAATCAGTCGAGCTCAAAATTACGAATATTACGACTTCCGAATTAGTAATTTCGTATTTAGACTGCTTCCCTTCCTGCCTGTAGTTAACAACGGTTTGCGAGACGTTAAAATTTAACGGCACTAAACTACAGATACAAAATTAATCGACAATTTTTGTTCCACTACTTGACGTTAAGCACCTAAACGATCCTGAGCGTGGGCGACTTGAACTGTGTCGTTTCGCCATCAATCCAATCCAGGCTTCGCTTGACACGATAATTTACAAGCACACCGTATCGTTCGAATCAACTATGCTCTTCCGCTATCACGAGACCCCAAATCTATCGACGTTCCTAGGACATTCGATAAGCTTTTCAAAATTGTGACACATCTTGCTCTTATCTTAAATCTCACCTCGTCGTTCGATCCTTCCTCTTCTACGAGCGTCCCCAGTTTCGGGAGACTGGGGCCTGGACTTGGATCGCGGCGGTGGTCCCCTGAAGCCGCGTCCTCGGAACGGCGAGACTCTGCCAACTGCCAAGGTCGGCGACGGACTCCTCGCCTCCGGAGAAACGGACCTCGAGTCCGCGATGATGACGAAGCTGGACCGGCGGTGCGCCCTCGAGGACGACGTGGCGGAGGGCGCGATCTTGTAGGGGTCGGGTGCACGCGGCGGTGGCGGCGGCATCGCGGTGGGTGACAGGTAATTCCCGTCGGGTGCCGCGAGCACCCTGAACGGAGGCGGTCGTTGAGCATGGCCGTCGTCGAGCCGCCTCATCCTTTCGAGGCCCCGAAGCTGTAACGCGAAAGTCACGAGAGTCGTTCGCTTTTACAATATTCCCTTTCATAGTCCCCTCTCGATTGTTCTCGGTTTTATGGCAACTGTTAGAAGCTACGAGGAGCAACGCTTCAATGGCAAGAAGAGGTAAGCGGTATTTTGTTTCCGTTTGTCGCGGTCGGGAACTTTAAGCGACAGATATGGTATATTTGACCCTCTGCAGTCCTTTCGAGTTGGAAATCATTTTCACTGGAAATCATAAATCAGTTGAGATAAAGTATGGAACATGACCTGGGCCGCAGAGGGTTGAAGGGATTTCTCTTTGTCTGCACTGTTGCTGCAAGGATAATTAGAAGTTTGCCGAGTTAACCAAAGATTTACGTTGAATATATTTAGTTTGGAAATGATTAAACGTAACCCTACTAAAACGTCATGAAAGGAATAAGCTAGGCTTGACAAGGAGATTTTAACCCTTTGCACTCGGCGATTTTTTCGTTACGGAGAAATAGTAATACGAAGATATTTTTAAAACGGTAAATAAGGAATCGTATATAAATTAGGACGTAGAATTATTTTATTTCGATATTCCACGCATCATTGGGTAATTTTAAATTTCGTATATCAATTAACGTCGATCTTTAGAATGTGATTAAGCGGCGACTGAGGATCGCCCCTCGAGTGCAAAGGATTAAACAACGTTAAAGTTGCTTCGTGTAAATTAATAGTTTTAATTACCTTTCGAGGCACTGCGATATTAATTCAGTCTTATCCCACAGATTACTCGCAAGTTAGTTTCCAAATAAGAATTAGCGAAACGGAGGCAACAGGAATTAAACGATACGCTTGTGGGTAAAACTTTCCTCGGTTTCCATCCTAACTACGCTGAATGAACTCTCTAGCCTGTGCACGTTCTACGATCTCCTTATCTTCCGCAATCCTAAAACGTCTACGTCGTGCAAACGCAATTTGCTTAGGTATGACTCAGTGCACTGCGAAGGGGCCAACGTACACCGAACGCTGTTTTCATTCTAGACTTTATAATTCCGGCTGCCTCCATAATATTTGCCATGACATCGCGCTATCGCCGGCAAGCTGACGCAAGCCAAACTTTCTAGTCCCTTTTACTTTGATAAAAGCGTCTCCCTGCCCGATGAAAGTTCTCCACGACGCTGAGCACGCTAATAAACGACCCGGGACGCTTTAACAATCGCTGCCTGACATAATAACACTCCAGAAACTCGAAAACCGCTCTGACTAAGTATTTAAACAACGACGCGAACGTCGCCCAACTCGTAAAGAAAGAGATGGTACCTCGAGTCCTTCATGCAGACGACCAAGATGCGGAGGACGCCAAAATACGTTGTCGCTCTCACCTGAAACACGTGAAAAATTGCACTTTAGAAAACTGCATTTCAAAAAACACCGAAAAACATCTAAAACTACCCGGAGAAACTGCAGCTTATTAGAATTTCATATTCTCTAGATTGCGTCATCGGAGCCATCGTCATCGACGAGCACTCGAAACGGCGTTAATAATTCCGTTTAAATCCAGCTTACCCAACTCCTTTATAACCATCGAATATTTATAAAAAAAAAAGAGAGAGAGAGAGAAACACGGTTTAAAAGCCCATTTCTTCATACATTAGCGATGATCACCGAGCATGGTAATCGAATTGGCTCGTTCCCGCCAGTTTCACGCAAAATTTTCAACGCTCCCCGGTTCTGCACGGTTACGCGAGAACAAACACCCGACTCTGGTCCCCGGAAGTTCGCGCAAAAAGCCTCCTCTGAAACATTTAGCCCGTCTGTTCGTTCCTAACGAGCCTGGTACCGCTTCGAAGGGTCTTTGGCAGCGTCTAGGCTATTCCTTCTCCGTTTCCACCGCTTTCCGCTCGAGGATCGGGTTCGAGCTTGGTCTGGCAATTAGCGGGCCCGCGTGCAACATCCGTGATCATTCGTTGACGGTTGCAATTACTCACTCTAGTTGTAGCGGGCCCCGTGGAACGGACACCAGCCTCCGTGCATTTTATTCACGCTCTCATACGCGGGAATGCTCGACTCGATCGCGTCGGTCTCGCTAGCTTCGCGATGCTTATTACCGCGATACCGTGACGCTGTTGAACTACATTCTCTATGTGTTCCCTCGACTGATTCGCGTACTCCAGTTTTTTCCTCTTTCCATTCTTCGCGTCCGTCGATGCTCGAAAGGGGAAAAGAAGATCGATGACGATACGCAGCGATGAATACCCGCCTTCGAGGATTCTTCCTGAGAAAGTGCATTTTAGAAGATTTCCTCCATTTCTGTCTGTCTCGTTAAAATTCCTGTGCCAGTTGCATGAACTTTTCGAAGAAATTTCATTCGCTAATTTTTTCGTCCTTCATATTTATGCCCTCTTCCTTGTATTCGAAAGCGTGTCATTCCGAATACGTAATTTCTCTTCCAACGATTCTCGTAATGTTAATTATTCCTTTGCACAGCTTTCGTATTTTTCAAGTATCTTTGGGTACCGAAATTTTCGTTAGATTTTAAATATGCTCGCACAAAAGTAAACGTCCAAGATATTTTATCTGCTCTTTACCGTAGAAGCGTTGACCGTGTGCCCCTAATGTTCTCCATCTTTGATTATGATCGAGCAGCAGCAAAAGGGAAACTTGCAATTGTTCAGCGCGTAAAGAAATGATTTAATACCGTGGGATTCCTGCATCAATTTCTTCCTTATAGAAATACGACTCAACACGTCGAACGTGTTAAATTTATTGAAACGGATAATCGTGAGTGCAGTAAAAAATAAAAGTGCATTAAGGAATAGGCCAGTGGAATCTAACGAAACGGGTATATTCTTTTATTATCGCGATCAATCTTACGTCGTTTCACTGCCATGAAGTTTCCTCTATTCATTCTCTTACGACTAACTGCATTAACCAAACACCTGGTGCATCCTCCACCTTGAAAAATTCATCAACTTTCTCGCATTACGTGCGTCCGTGAAAATTAAATCCACGTTATTGGCATTCCACCACCGTGCCGTGAGTCAGTGTTAAATCATTACATACTTCGATCACTCGTATCTAATCTCCCATCCTTTGCACTGCGATCCCTCGGCACAGGTGCGCGAAAATTCGGTACCACGCGTCACGGATCACTCGAAGATCCAGATTACCATAAAATCCTCCGAAATCCCAAATTATCCCAACTATCCAGCTATGACTTCAACTGTGAGAACTCTCGGGAACCCAGTGACACGGGGGGCTTTGATCGTGCGCGAATGATTAAATTCACGATGCACGGAACGTATGTACAATGATCGACGAGCGTCACAAAGAGAATTGAAAATAATCACAGAGGTAACGACGATCCAGGCGCCATCCGGAGGAAACAAAAGCGATGCACCGCGTAGACGTGCGCCACGACGGTGGTCCCCGAAGAATCTGCATCGTGTCCAATGACATTCCGCGAATCGCCACGCTGGGACACGCTGGTCAGCATGAAGAATCGAGCGCGAACAAGCGCGAACGACCTCGTGGCCGAAATGTGACTCACGATGGCTCGTGTCGGCGATGCGTTGATTTACGATGGCCGGTTGTTTCGAATTAATGGACAGGCCAATGAAGGCGCGGATTCGCGAGTCCTCGCATACGTGCGAGTACGCTTCCCGAGAATTATTGCACGCTTTCTAGAAATCTGTCTCCCGTGAATCGCAGAAGCTATCTCCGGCCAACTGAGCCTCTACCCCAGCGTCCGCCGAGGTGGAAGAAGACGATGGAGGTGGAAGAACGAGGCGGTTGCTTTGCATGGAAAAAATTCTCGCCATCTTCTCTATTCTCCAACGGGTCCAATGTAAATGTCGAGGAACAACGGAGAATCGACGAGGATGTTAGACACGCAGAATAGAGAAAATCGTTGAAGCGAAATGAACGTTCCCTGTCGTGGGACACGACTCGACTGTTCGCGGCATATCGTGGAGCGAGATGGTTTCCGGTAATTAGGTTGAAATTAGGCTGAATCGTAAATCGGAAATTCAATGGACGCGTTTTAACGCTCAAACTGGGACGAATATATAAAGAATGCGCGGAGCGGCTCGCACTTGCACGGATCGGGGAAATGCCGAAGAACCGGTGTGTAAACGGTTCGAATACAGTTTAGAAACGGTTTAGAAACGGTTAATCGTGTCTGGTTCTTTTTGCAATGATGATCAGATTAGGTAGAAACGAATTCATCGGTCTCTGGAACGGCTTTAGTGATACAAACATGGCGGCAAGTAGGCCGAACGCTGGTATCGGTTTATCTTCGAATAGAACGCCACGACTCTGAGAATCGTTGGAAAAGATTAATTTGTGACCTTGACACCGTGAAAACCACACGTGAAATACGAATGCAGATGCACGTGACGTGATCGACGATTTTCCAGGTGCATTTGTATGCATCGTGCACTCTATCTAATTGCAATCGGGAATCGAAAATGCGCTGAAAGCGTAAGAGAATGAATACCGTTTAAACGTTACTTAAACTCCCGGCTGAAATCCTCGTTCTGGCTCTCATCCTCGATGTTAAGAAGCGAAAACCACAAGTTCGAGTACATTTTACCAGAATCTCGGCCAAAAACGACCCTTCACCTAGACACTCGGAATACGATTAATGTTCCTCTTATTCACTCGCTCTCCGAGTCATCGAGCAAAGAAAAGAAGCGAAACGAAATACGAAGATCGTGGCCGATTACTCGATCAATTAGCTCGGCAAGCAGCAGCAGCAATACGCTCGTCGTCCCCGGGACGAGCCGAGGACGCATCTCCGCTCGGACTCGCCTCAATTTCGCGGCAGCTTAACGCTCGTCAGGCTGATGAGACTCGTTTAACGAGGGTCCAGACGAAACACCTCCCATGATCGATGTTATAAATAACGATTTAGCGGCGACGAGGCGCGGCAATGCGACCTACGTCACTTTTAATTAGCACCCGTTGCGCAACGATTCAATTAGGCAGCGCTCCGCGCCGGTCACGCCGGCTTTTCTTCTTTCGCGCATTTATAATCGCGGTGTCGCGTTTATCAGGCTGGTATAGGCGGGAAACTCGGGGAAATAGTAAATCAACGAGCCGTTAACGAGAATGGAAAACGCTGGAATCGGCTACGAGCAAGAAGGATCAACGACCCCTCGTAACTCCCTGCGTATATACCTGTGTATTCCGTCGGCCAAGGAAGTTCCTCGCGGCGTAACGATCATGTAACAGCCGATTATTTCACGGGGCAGTCGAGCAAAGACCGGCGAATTAATTGTTACGCGTGTACACGTCTCGTTCTCCCTTCAGCGTTTGCATAGATGCATCGTTGTTATCCGGGAGCCGAGTGTCGATAGCTTTCCCGATCGCCAGAATCCGTTTCTTATTCCAAAGAGGAAGCGACGGGATCGAGTAGCCTGTGTCGCGAAAATAAACGAACAATGGGAAATTTTGGTTGTACCTTCGAGAAGATACCTCTTTGTTCCTGCGTTCGTTCTGCGTGCGAGTACCTTAACACGCCGACTGTCATGGCGGATACTGGAATTAACATTAGACTAGCAAACGAGCTGGTTATGCTTTTAATAACTGGAAATATACACGGATGCTATTAAAGATATTAATATTAATTTTTACTCAGATAGAAACGTAATTATATGTGAGCTATTCATAGTGAACAGTGATTAACTGTATTCTTGGAATTTTCGAAAATTAATGCACTTGCTTGGTGCTTCGTACAGCTATTTATTTTTACTGCCTTGCTTTAATTGTTATATTTAGGTTAGGCATTACAGCGTTCTAGTATTCCAACTCTATTGCTATTCTATTCTAGTTTTCTATATAATTTTAATGCTATATATAAATAATATAAAATTTCGAAAATCTCCCAAGGTTTTGTAACAATTTTACCATTTCAATATGTCGCGTGGATTTTCATCAGAAGTGGACGTGCTAAGCCTATTCTTTCACAGAATTTCGCTGGAAGCAAGAGCGAGCATGCTCGTTAGAAAAATGCAAAGAACATAGTAGTCGGGGCAAAGCAGGTAGGCGCGTTTATGGATTCGAAGGCGAACGAATCGAAGCTGAATTTTAAGTAGGAAACGGGCCACGCATTTTTCCATCGACAAATGGCAAAGTCGCGTTTGAAACCGGAAATGGGACGATGTCTTTACCTCGCGGCGAATTTTTAAGCTCGGTTGTCTCGATGGAAATTGCGGTTGCAGCCTGTAAGAATTTAATACGAATTTCCACCCATGCAAAACAACGCTTCAACGCCTCATTTCATTACGACTCGTTACTTCGCCGCAACGACAAAGTACAGGCCTCCTCCGACGCCGGAACAAACCTGGATATTAACTTCGAGGGTGCGATTTGGAACGATATATTTCGATCGTGGTAGGAATTACAGGCTGCGTAATTTCTCCTTTCTTCCCCTTTAGCGTCTGACTCTGCTTTTTCCTCCGTTCCACGGAAACAATCAAGCCCACACGTACACGCATTCCTTTTCGCTCTCGAATTGCAAGGAAACCTCTCGCGTGCGACACTGTGTCGTTGCTTTAATTCAAACTGGTCTCACCAGTCCATTCCAGGCATCGTGTGCCCTGACAATTGTCATCGATCAAAAGCGAAAATATAAACGTGTGCATGCATATTAATTCCGTGGTACCGTGGACACGACAAAAAGCGATATATTAAATAGAGTGATCACACCTTCCTTGCAAGTGGCTGTTACCAAAGAAACGTGGAAAAGTATTTAGGCTGTCGTCTGAATCTTGACAGATTGCATCGATCAGTGTCGGTGGTGGAACGATCTCTGTTTCCTTTTGAAACGTTACACTTCGACGGTGTAATAATAAGGAGTAGCTGATACCAAGCAGGGTACTCGTGAAACAGTCACGAGCAACGTGAACAGAGGAGGAAATTCCATAGAATTTTACCTGCCTAAGTGGAACAGTTGGACTTTTATCGATCCGATTCAAATTCGCTCGCAAAGACCGCCACGAGGAAGGCGCGTGAGCTTTTCTTCCCTCAGGAGGAACCAGGAGTACCTCGTTCGACATTCACGCCGCGATTCGACCCAGCGTTCCGCTGCTTCCCGATTACCCCGTGTCTAAAAGTGTCTCGAAATTGAATCGAAGACCAACAGCCAAGTAGGAACGCTTTGAAGGAAGAATCACTGGAAAGGAAGAACCGCAACAAGTATATCGACGCGTATTCCTGACGAAGCATCAACGAAGCTAGTCAAGGTGGCCGTTACAGTCACGTTGGTTCGGTAACAGATGTTATCCGACTAGACCAAAAAAAGGTATGACCCATGAAATTTCAAGCACGACCTCGTGCGCTAGTCACGAGAGCGAACCACGCGCCCCGCGAATTCCACCAATGCGTCAGAAATTCAAAAAGCGACTACACCAGCCCCCTTAGATCACCCTGACCTATCTCCAGACCGAGACTCAACTTCCAAAGCTAAGTAATCGAAACTAAATCGTTCAAAAATTCCACTAGCTTCCACCTTGAGCTTTCAACTCTAAACACTTTGGAACAGCTCACAACTTTGCGTACTTCACAAGATTCCACCGTGTCCCGTCTCCAATTATCCCTAACAACTTCGTACGTTTACCCCCTAACGTTCCACTTGCTCCGTAACAACGTTCACGATGATCCAACCCGACTTGTCAAACCATCTTCTCGAACTAGTCCGAAACTGACGGTGTCACCTGAAGCAAAGCAATCCCGACGGTGGTCTGTCTCGAGCAGAGACACGTCTTACCTGGCTACCAGGTGGACAGCGAGCCGGAGTCGCCGGGCAGGGTGCATTTACGAGGATGCAAGCCTCAAGGAAGCGTCGGTAATCGGCATCGACGTGCCGCGACGTCGGTCCGCGTCTTCGCGTGAGCACGAACGCGTCCTTACTGCCGCGGGGTTGGCCGGCTCGACGGTTCGTCGAGAAAGCGAGGGTACGAGCTGGTCACTTGGGAGGCGCTGGCGCGATGACCAGGCGTCGAGGAAACGTGGTCGGTCATCGGGCGACTTCCGATGTGGACATCCGAAATCTGACCGGCAGACAGCGGGGTGAGAGCTGAATTAAATGGATTATTATTTGAAAAGTGCATTCCGCGGTGGTGGTTCTTGGAATAGCGATGTAGCCTCGGCAGGGACTGGGTTCTGGGTACCTTTCGTAGGATGTTTGGTTGCACATGGTGTACGTGGTCGCGTAGTAAGCGGTGTGCAGTTGTGTTTGGCTGGACAGTTTTAGATCAGCGGTGGGTAGAGGACGTCGAAGTAATTTTGAGTATTCCTTAGGGGTTTGTCGAAGGTGAGGCATCAGTGCGATTCTTCGAATGTGCAGAGGCCACGTAGACTCGTCGCGTGGGCGTTTAGAAGTATTCTCCGTGTGTACTGAGGAAAAAATGGTTGGTAATTTGCGATTGTGCGACGAGAGAGATAAAAAGGGAATAGCAGGAAATGGGATTGTTGCTAATTTTCTTACGTAATATCGATCGTGGAAGGAAATGTAGCCTCTGGTCCGCCCACACACTGGATCCCGTACACCGGGAAAAGTGTTACAACACTTGTGGATAATCGGATATATCGGACGGGCACGCGTTATACGAGAGTATTCTATAACACGGCGTGGCAGGCGAGGCCGTTCATTCATTCATTTGGTCGTGCTAGGTCTACCTGGATCCAAATTATTGGAACATTAGCTTGATTGAAGCGAGCTGGGCTCGGCCCGATCGCGCGATCGATTCCGTGCATGTGTGTTTTCTGCGGCGGCTTGAAACTTGCGGTAACTCGGCTGCGCCAAATTAACGCCGCAAAAATTTACATCGGGATCAGATTTATCAAAAACATCCCAAGTGGAAACACGATGTTGATGTTTATCGTTTCGAGTTGTAACACCGACGATAAATTAATTTCAAGCTCCGTTTGGAAATCGGCCTTATACACGGGCCAGGGAGTAGGCAAGCGAAAATGTCGGCGCGATTAAAATTATTGCAAAATGGCGTATCGAAGTACACGCGAGATAAAATCCACCGGTTTCCTTTTAAACACATTTTATTCGATTGTATATGTACAGTTTACATAATCATCGTCGCCGCGTTATATATGGTACATCCGACTTCGAGTTAAATGGGTAACTGTTTGCTATGGGAAGTAATTCCGTGCGAAATTCAAAGCGATCAGTCCGTTTCAATGAAATCTCAGCCGAGATCGATGCGCCTCGATCGTTCGTGCCAGATCCATAAATAGCGCTAGATCCTTCGCCGAACGTCCACTTCGTTTTACGCTCTTTCTCCTTATCGAAGTCTGAGAAATGTAACGAGGTAGTTAAGAAAATCGGAGATATCTCGTTCTCGCAGCTGTTTTGCTATCGGTACACGCGTTTCGCTGCGTCGTGTCATCCGCGAAACGAATCGGAGCGAAACATACGCGCTCGTGCGAGCAAAACCGCAAAGAACGGTGCAATCTTGAACAGACGAATCGATAAAGCTCGGTGAACCTTTGCTTTCTGTCCAACTTTTCCGTCTACGCGTATCGCGCCACTCTTTCTATTTACTCGTGCTTTCTTCCTCCTGCGATATCCCCTTTGTTGATAACTCTTCGTGGAAGTAGATGAAAAGATTAGATGAAAGTTAGATAAATACGAACTCGATGCTGGTTGCAAAGCGTATCGAGAAAAGGCTGCTTCGAAAGTTTCGGCTATAACTCGGGATAGAAGAGATACGTATAGAAGAAGGCAAGAAGGTGTAGATTATTTAACGAACTTAACTCGACTAGATACCTTTTACTCGGTTTGCTAAGCATTATAAACTTACAAATCCCTGAAGCACCGTTTCCTCGATATCCTCTGTATAACAGCGTTCGTTTACCAGTGTACTTTCGTAGACGGCACGTTGCAGAGACGTTGTTTCACCTGAGAAAAATTGAAACCGACGGAAATATACTTGGCGACGTGTTCACAATCGATATTTTTCATTGCTCTTTGTATATTCAGAACTCGAGCACCGATATACCGGTGACTCATGCACCCTCCTTAATTAATGGTCGTTAACTCAAAACGCGTTGCGCTTAACGAGTCACGATAAAAATCAATCGGGTTCGCGAAACGCGCGGAGTTTCGCTCGAAATTTCATCGCTGTTCGAGTTTCTGCATAGGTGAACAGCCTAAAAATACGCAATCCTCCCCGACGTTTGCCTTGGACGCGAAGGTATCTGCTTTTCTTCTTGCTGCATACGTATGTGTATATAATAGATATTTACATTTGCGCGTAGGTTCGCAACTTTAACGTGTTGTCCACGGCACCATGGTTAACTTTAATTAATTTTCGTTAAATGCTCATCCTCGATCACCGGGTCATTCTATGCAATCCTCGTTTCCACGCAGAATGCTCTGTTGGGTAAATCGAAAAAACTGGGAGAAACGTTATTCTGCGATTAACGAATGTTAAATCGTTAATATTCGCGTTTACCACGAAACGCAATGCAATCTCATTTTGGTAAAATGGCGTGGATCGCAATTTCATTTGATCCTTTCACTTGGAGAAATCATTAGGGTGTATGACGATTGTAGTGACCGCTAAATATTTCCTCGTAAAGCCACTGTTAGCCTGTTTCCTTTTTGATCAATTTATCCTTCGTAATAATTTAAAATACGGTATAGGGAATAATTTCGAAGTGATTCTTTTTATTGGCATAGAAGAACACTAAAATACTCGTAGCGTTAGTAAAAGTTTACATCCTCTCTCTCTCTCCCTCTCTCTCTCTCCTTATCTGTTGCAATATTTTTCCTCTTTTCCATTTTTCTATTTTTTTTTCCTTTTTTCTGTTTTCTGTTTTTGACAGATCGATCGTGATTCGATCGAAATACAGCGAGCTTGAATTAACACCGAAATCAGGTAACGATCCAGTTCACTTTAAGTACATGCCTCTGGTACTGTAATTCCTATCCTGCCACAAAGGTTGCAAGCACTCTTTAAAATAAAGACGTGACAAGACATGCGAAAGGAAATAGATTATTATACTATGACACACCAAGTCAAGCGATACATTAAAGAAATACTAAACATATTCTTAACTTTGGTACCATGATTACTCTTTAACACAGACGATGATCTTTGATCTTGATCTTGAAATAAATCTCCGTTACGTGAACGTTTATTTCGTGATTTCTATAAATTCGTCCCGCGTGAACGTGTTCAACGAAATTCATAAAACGTCCCACGGATATTATTTATAATTCTTTAGAACAATAATATTGTCGTTACTGGGTATTGCCATTCTTGCATACGCGTACGAAAAAAATATAACAACGCGTTATCATCTATTTGCGTGTGACGATCGTTAAATAGAACTTCGAGATTACGCGTTAACATTCCGAAGTATCATCGTCGTATCGGTGTTTTCTCGTATCAAATGAATTTTAAAAGACTTCACCATCGGGACGCGAAACATTCGCGTTACGTGGCTGCAGTTGTTGGAAGTAGCACGCATCAATGTACTGCACTATGAACATAGCGTTCCAACACCTTGACAACGAATTTTTGATAAATATTGTCTCGTTTGAATACACATAAACTATAATATTTAATCGCAGTAACAAGAATAAAAGTTTAGTCATCTAATTTAGTCGGGCTATGTTTCCGATTTCGATTGATCTATACAAAACTGTAGAGAATTAAAGGAAAGACGGAAAGAATCGAAGAAGCGAAGTGAAAGCATCCATTGCATCCTGGTCGCAAAGCATTTCGATATCGTTTACATATAAAAAGAATTGAATAAAAAGCTAATCTATCCCTAACTAGGTTGAATTAAATTACGCACGTTGACTACAAAAGAAGTGACTAATGTAATCCTTAAATAACGATATATCGAGCAATGTTGCACGATTGCCGTGAAACCGAATTTTCATTCACAAAGGCAAAAATATTACGGTATTACTGTCAACTATACAAATTAAATAAATATAATTCTATATCTGCAGTGGTGTATAGAATGTTTTACCCTAAGCTACTGTTCTTGGTACAGCCTTAGTTTCACATAGTTACAAAAAATAATGCTCTGTTATTTTTAAAGGAACTCCCTGCTGAAATAGTAATAATTTGATTGAAATATCTGCTGGAATACTTTACACTTTTGATCCCGCTTTATCGTGACTCCTTTGAATTCTCTTATGATCTTTCCTATATTTTTCGATCGTTATATCCGCATTATCCGTGTTTGATAAACTTAACGCGACAGGATCTAAACTCGCTGCAAGTTTTAAATAAGTTTCTTCCATTTCTTTAGTGATCTTGACCTCGTAATCGATATCCCCAGTGACTGCCTTCTTGAAAGTTTTGACCAAAACTTTCTTCTCTTCGGTTGGAACATCGAAAGATATTAAATCTTTCTCTTTATCTAAATCAGCGTTATTTACATTCGGTGAAAAATTATTTACATCATTGTTTAAATTTCCTTCTCCAAACTCTTCAACATTCGCGGCCAAGTTCTTGCATTTACTTTCTGGAGAATCGTTATATAGTTCTCGGTCGTTTTCGACCGATTTGGACTTGGTTTGTGACTCGTTTAAATACGTTAACGAAGAACTTTTATCGATCAGGTTTTCGCTAGGTTTTAATTCCGTACAGTTTGACCCAGAATTATCCATGTGAACTGAAGATTGAACCCATTCAGCTACTCTTTGTAATTGGTTATTGTCATGTAGTAACATCGGGGTGCTCTCTTCGCTACTTGTTGAGATTGATCTTTCAGATCCAGAGCGAGACAATTTTTTCGAATGAACTAAAGCAGTATTTGGTTTACTATTTCCACTAGTGTATAATACAGTTTTATAATGTCCAGCATTATCTAACAGAATATTTTTCGATCCAGGTGTTACTCTTACGAGACAATTCCTTGGACCAGTTACTCTGTTTTGACTATTAGGTTTCGAGTTAGCAGTATTATGCAAACGTATCCCAGTTGATTGAACGACGTCACTAGAACTACTGGAAGGATCGGAAGTTGAAATTACAATACTATCGCTACTAAAACTTGGACTAGTGGCCACTTCCATCTGCCCCGAATCATTTTGGTGTGTAACATTGTCAATATTCTTGACTTCTATTAAAGTTAATTGCGCTGGATGAGAAGAATTTTGTGTTGATCTATCACTTTTCCAGGCCCTATCGTTAATTATATCGATCTCGATATCGCTGTTTACTTTGTCTTTGTTCTCTTTCGTATTAGACTGTGATTTTAATTTCGTCCACTCATTTTTCCATAATCTATCGTTAATGATGTCAATGTGACTCTGTTCTGTTTTACTTAAATAATTTTTATAATTTTCAGGAACTATCTGACTACAATTGGAAGATTTCTTATCCAATTTATTCCACGAATTTGAATTGAATTTGTCATCGATTTGTAATTCGTACTTTTTATTCAGCTTTCCTTGTTTTCCTTTATCTGTATTTATTTTACTGTTAACGCATGTATCACCTGTTTTTTGTGGTATTGCTTGCTTAGTCCCATTTTCATTCTGATTTTGAAATACACTTTGGTGTGATGGATCGTTACGACGTAGTGAGTTTTTTTTATTAAAATTAACTTTCGTATTAACATTTACACGGCCATCCTCTTTTAAACTGTCTATAATTTTACCATTTCTACTTACAAATTTATCTCTTGTACATAACTGTTGGTGATTAGTATTCTTTGTACAATTGTTCTGATATTGTACTTTACTACTAACACTTTCATTTCCCTCATGATAAACTACATGTACCAAAGAATTTTGACTTCCTTTATTTTGGCAATTTTTGTCAATATTTTTCATAGTATCAGAATGTTTGTCCAGACACTGTGTATACTTCATTGTACATTCGTTACAAGAAACAACATTCGGCGTATTAGTTTGAGTTTCAGCATCGACCATTAAAATACTTCTGTGACAAGTACATGTGTCACAATGCTTGCCAAGTACTCTTTCTTTCTCACGATCTTCTAAAACTTTAGCCATTATCGCTGCCGAAACGATATCTACTGGTGGCTTAGATTCATCTGTCTCATCGTCACTATTGTTTTCAGCTGTAGGCTTAGTTATATTATATACCATCGCTGTTGGAGGAAATGTAGAAATTGGTACTGTAATACTTTTTACATCCGGAGGTGCAGTATCATTGGAACACTTCTTTTGTGCAATATATGTCCTGACTTTGGCTTGTACCTCGGAGGGTAACTAAAACAAATTCACTCTTATATACTGTTCCTACATTTTAATTACCATTTTGCACTCAAATAAATGTTATAAAAATGACTTACCGAATCATACTTTTGTCCAACAAAGTTAGAAGGCTTACACTGTAGAAGTTGTATTGCCAAGTTTACATCATTTCTATATTTTTCCTGAAATAAAAAATTATTTCTAAAAATCTTATTTATAATTAAGTAAAAAAAAAAAAAGGAAAATTGAAATTCCATATTAAAAACATACATTATCTTGGGTTAAACGATGTATAGTATAGTTTGCATCAGCTAATCTATGAGATAAAGTTGCAATATCCTTAGTAAATGCACTTTTTTCTGTTTCACATTTATCTACAATCCTTAACAGTTTATCTTCCAGATTTTGATTTACTTTTTGAACACGTTTATGAGCGTCATATAATCTTGAATACTTTTCTTGCCAAATTAAAAGTTCTTCCTTCATAGAGGCTAATTCTCCATTTGGAAACTTATCAGCTTCGTTCAGAAAGTGAGTCTCCATTGTTACAATATGATTATCTCTTTCCATTAAACTTTGGCGTAAATTTTCTATTTCGACATGCAAATGCATTTCTCCATGTTGACCATCATTTTGATTGCAGCTCACACATTTGCAGCCACATTCCTGAAATATGTAATTATAATAAATAATTTTCACATATGGTAGCCAGCAATACCTGTATATCAAAGAGATCAAGATCAGCTAAATAAGTACAAATTTATTTACCTCCAACTATACGTAATTTCCTAATTATTACTTGATTAATTAAAATATATTTTTCTTAATGTCTGATCTTGTAATTTCATACACATGTTAATTCTTAGTTATGCGCATAATCAATTATTTTTACATACCTTACATTTTTCAGCCATCATGTAATACACAAATTATACTAAAAACACAGAAAAAATATTTACGAACGAGACTTCGAAATTGGAGCCTCATAACCCTGTTGTTCAATTCGAATGAAAATATGGATAGCTTATGCACGTATCAACGTACTTTATCCTCTCATGATGTTATAAACTACTAAAACAATTTGTATAATGAAAGTCGTTTTTTTATGAAATTACTAATGTTTAATAAATATTATTCGAATAAACTTCGAAATGACAGATTGTAAAGTTCTCTGTCGTCTGCCACACGTCTAACTCGTCAAAGTAACTCAACTGTCAACTTTAAGATTGAGTTACAAATGTTTTTAAATGCTTTTGTGACTACACTACGTTACTTCCACTACTTTTTATGATGTGTCGCAAATTTAGTGGAAGAATAAAACAATTGCCAAACGGAAAGGAAAACTAGAAAATAAATTTTCAATAATGAAAATCGAACTTAATACATTACTTAAGAATAACCAATAGAATAACTTGGAAAAGCGATCACATTTCTTATTGGATATGAATTAATTCATGACTAATATTATCTATTGAATATACGTGAAAAAACGATGAAATCGATGTATTTTAAAACTTGGGAAATCTCTCAGACTTTTCTTGTCTTCATCTTCAGACAAAAGTCTGAAATATGTATACAGAAATTAATAATAAGATAGTTTACAAATTAAAGAGAACGAAAAGGATATGATTTGCAGAAATATTTATTAAGTATTTATTATATCTTGTACATAATATTTGTAATCATAATATTCTTAATAATATTAATATAATGATTACTTCGTATGTATTTTATATAATACTTGCGAAAATAATTAACATTATAAAATCTTGTTTTGCTTATAAAAAAATGCATTATTTGATTTTAAATTAGTATAAACAAAAACCAAAAATTAATAACGAATTATAAAAAAATTTTGATTTAATTACATTATACCCTCACAAACGATGTATTACGTATCAAATAAAAGGATAATAATTAATTTGCAATCAATAATATGGTTTTATTATGGATTTCTTCTTTTTTAGTACATATATGAATCTTCTTAAAATGTTTTAAAATTTTATTCGTAATTGACTAATAATTCTATAAATTTTGATTATAATACTAAAAGTAAAGAGGTTGTACAATTAATGATTTGTAAGTATTTTGCTTGAATGTGTAATATAGTTTTTATTGGATAACACGAAACAAAGTATTGAACAGAGATATATATTTGAAGTTATGAAAAAATGCGAAGATCAGTATGGTTGTAGAACAGGATTATAGTTATCATTGCATAATTATGCAAGAAATATTTTTATAACATATGACACAGCAGTGGTAGAATATATGTATATGTATATATAGTGCCTTACCCTACAATCGAAATGATCCAAACATTAATGTCTAATATCAAATCTGATTTACTCTTTGGATACATTGTTTTTACACGATTGTAAAGTACAGTCTTACTTGATAAGAGAATGTACAATAATGAAATATTAAAACTTTTCCATAGATATTGGTTATACAAAAAAACGGACTTTTCGATTGAAAATTGAAATCTTAGATTTCTCCCTTAATATTCTGTAAAGCTTTTTTTTGGTTTTTTGAAAACGATCTAAACGACTTTAATTTTTTTATGCCAAAGCACTATATTCATTTATAAATGTTAATGTCTAGCTATCAAGTACTTAAGAAGTTATAAATATAAAAGAATTTGTTATATAAAAGGGAATATATATTTTTTTTTTTGCCCAAAATGTATGTAATTTTCTTCTTGTCAAGAATGCAAATGTACATTAATACTACGTGTTTTATCACATGTTATTTGAATATAGATTTTTTTTTATAAAAAAATTGATTCTGAACATTTTCTATCATTTGAAAATGTTATTGTGTGGAGCATAAAGTATTTCTTTTTGTTTTATACATGAACACAATTAAAAAGTTTGGAACATTTCAAATGTTGAGCATCATATATATTAATAAAAGAATATGTCCGAATGCAACATTGCTTAACTCTACATATACATTATAATATCTATATTCATATAGAATTTTCATACCTTTCATAACAACAAAATGACTCTTTCTGAATAAGTTTTAACAAATTGAACACAAAAATCACCTACAATACAGCAAATTTCATGCATATATTAAACAATACTAAATGTGAAACATGAAAATTGCAAAATTTATACTACATATTTGATTAAAATTTCTTTTGAATACAGTCTGTTCAATAATATTTATGTTGTATCTGGTTACATCTTTAGAAATTTATCTAAGGACACTAAGCATATCTAGTGATAATACTCCAATTTGTGTCATCAGCTAGATTCATATTATGTAACAAATGGTAACACCTATACTATTCAATTTAAATATTTCACATTGCCATCTATTTTAGTATTTTAAAATATTATTGAAATTCCTTAAAATGGTTCAATCACAGAAATTAATGTAGTAATAAAATATACTGCATATTGCATTTTAATAACCTGTGTAAGGTGTATACGTTATGTGCCAATGAATTAATATTATATTTGCACGAACGTAATTCCTAAAAGTAATTCTCACGTTAAAATTGCATAAATAAAGTGAAAGTTACCTTTATGAATAACTCTATGATACAACATAAATTGAAAAGAATTGCACATTTTAGGCTCTAATTATATTAAAACGTCCGTGCATGTGTGAAAGGTTCAAAAACCAAACAATATAAAGATTGAAGTTTTAAATAAAGATTAAAGAATATATTGTTTTTTAGATCACTACGTATGATATATATATATATATATATTTACACAAAAATAATGTCTGAATAAAACAATTCTAGGTAAATATGTAAAAATACTAAAGAAGTTAATTATTGTAACACTCAGAATACTGCATGAAGTAGCAATTAAATGACTAATTTATTTTACTTGGTTTTTGAGTCCTTCATACATAAGTGATCCCCAAATAAAAATCAGGCATATATTTATGTCGCTAACAAAGCAAGAAAAATAGTTTAAGTAGGCATAAATTACTATGATGTTACAAATTGTCTACAATATACAGGATTGAATGTACACAACATTTGCATTAGTATGATAGAATTAAACTTTCAACTGCAATAGCTATAGATCTACCAACATCAAAGATGTATATTCTTAAGTGCTAAGTTTTAGTAGTTTTATTTAAAAATCATAAGCTCAATTTATTTTCATGTTGAGCATAATTAAAATAAACATTCATTTTTATAACTGTACGTTAATCATGAAATTCATGCAGTTGTTAATATTTTCTAACATAAACAATTATTAATAGAATCTCTACTGGAGGCAGTATGTTTACATAACAGATATTGTGTGCTTTTTAAAGCAAAAAATATTCTAAATTAATTTCTTTGCACCACGAACCTGCGAATTCAAATGACATATCGTTCTTCTATTCATTAACGCAATATAATAATATACATGTACAATAAAAGGTAAAGTTGTTGATTTGAACTTGTCAAACGTCATTCTCAAATCAGTGCTACTAGAATTTCAAAGCTTACACGGTTTGTCAATATTGTCATAGGGCATTACTATCTTAACAAGTTGGTAGATTATATCTCTAAATTCTTTACCTCCTTGCACTATAACAATACTGAAAAATAAAGTGAACTTTGAAGCTCCAGTCATTGTGAATACACTACATATATACATATTAAAGAAAAAGTTCTTTTAAACTCTTTCTTTCTATTACATGACAGAATTTGATATATGATTTTATTTAATGAACCCAGATTGCCTTTATGAGGCATTAAAATTTATTACATACAATTTAAAGAGGATTTGTATTCAATTTTGGAAACCTGGTTAAAATCAATACTGCTTCCTCTTGAAATACCTATAATCTATTTTTTACTACATCCTTCTTTTGAGGATTTATCAGAAAAGGTGTCACAAGTGATATGACATTTATCTTTTTCACGTCTTACACATCAATGACTTAATTCAATCTAATTAAATTCTGTCTAATCTAATATTTTACAAGCAACCTTGCATCCGGAATTAAACATCTATCATCCAATTAATTATTTATATATAACATGTAATAATGCAACATTTCTCGTCATAAAAAATCGTAAGCCTTAGTCGTAATTCGAACAAGGTCATTTGTAATTACAGAATGGATAATTTTCGTCACTGAAGCGTTAATAAATCTGTTCCCAATCTAAAAACATACATGTTCTACTATTTAAGAGTACAATGTAAATAATGGTATTAATAATAATAGCATTTTTTAGTATCATTATAAATGTCATGTATCTTTATATTAAAAAATAAAATTTTTAATTGATAAAAGAATTTTGTAATCTTTTTTATTGAAAGGAACAGATTTCTTAACTACTTTCGTAAGGAGGGATTGTTTTATACTTTAAGAGCAGCTTTGGGAGACCAGTGATGGAAACGGGCAGGTCCTGTAGGGTAGGATGGTGGATGAATCCATTTGTTTCCTCTATGACCCATAAAAGGAGGTGGAGATGGACCACCCAAAAAGTGAGGAGGCATAATGTTATACCATGGTTGGCTTATTGGATGAGGACCATAGCCCATACTGAAGGAGTGACCAAACCAGGAGCGATTTCTATTAAGGTGTAACCTTGGGCTGTTTAAGTTGCGTTTCCTACCTGTACCATTATTGCTATGCTGTTGATTTTGATTAGCAGAGCTTAGTGGTTTTGATTTTTGTTGCTGATCTGTATTAGTAGTCAAAGGGGATTTCTGTAAATTATGAAAGTTCATTATTTTTTACTTAATTTCTCAAATACATTACATTACTTATCTACAGTAAGAAAAAGGATGTTAAATGTAAATGTGCACTTTTACCTGTATCTTAGTCGGCCCCTCAGATGATTTATTTTCTTTTTCTAATCCTTCATTATTTCCTTGAAAAATTGGTACAGTATTTTCTTTGTCATCAAATGATGCCAATGTACAATATGACCCTTTACTCTCTCCAAATCGGCAGCAAACTTCATTTGGATCAACCCAAAGTGTTAGTTCTACTGGTAATGAGAGATCTTCATATTTTACCCCAGCAGCACTGGCAGCACTCTCTAAAGTTGCATCCCTCCGATTATGACCATTTACACGAATACAACGATAACCTTGACCTTTGAATGGCTTGTCAGGAAACCAATGATTTTTAAAACGTTCCGTCAACAATTCCACCAAACGTCGTTTAAAACACTCCAATTGATCAGGACTAAATTTTTCGTTTTTTTCTATCAGCTGCACTAAGAATAGTACTGCTGCAGTAATCTCGTTGCGCATGTTGCCTCTGTCGTATACCAAGTTTATAATTTGCAGAAGAAATCCTCCTTTGATGTTGTGATACAATATTCTTGAAAACTAAAGTACCATTTGCTGAAGCTGATGTGGAGCACATAGAGCCCTTCTGCACCGCAACAACGCTTAAATTTTTTATAATCTATGATGTTTCTCTTCTTTCGTTTTTGTTTGCGAAACAGCTTTTACTGAGCTATTTTGTTCTTTCTTTGGTATGGACAATTTGTTCCAATTATTCTCACCTGAAATTATAAACAACCTTAGTTATTGTTAACAAATTATTTGAAATTTAATATTTTACAGCATTATATTTACTAATATTCTATAAGAAAGAAATAATAATTAAAAAATAAATGATTTTCAAATAAACAATTTTAAATATAAGTTCACACATGTATCTATAAGAACCTTGTTTATTTGTTTTTTTAATGATCAAATTGAAGAAACTTTCTAAATGAGTAAATTTTGATTATAATAAGTTTACATGACTTGTTGCATTACAGTACTGATATATATGTAGGCACGCTAAACAACTGATTTCGTTTCACAGTAAAACTACACAACAATATGTTATGGGTATTAATTAGGTTATAAACCATAATAACTCAGGTTAGGAAAATCATTTAAAGAAGCAAGATTGACCGTTTACACCAGGTTCACGACGATTAGTAATCAGAAACAAGGCAAACGGCACCATTGTAAAGTGTATTAGATTTCAAGAAACGAATACTTCGAAATAATGAGCACAACGAATTATGCCAGCTCATTCTTGTCGTACCAGGTCGTGCCGTGAGCGATTGTTCCTGAAATACCACAACTCACAGTCTTGGTGATTATTTATTTATCATAATATTTCACTGTCGCCGCACCTGTACTTTCGTTCGATATATTTAAAAATTTAATACTAATATTAAATTGACCTTACGAATCAGTGACGAAAATTCCGTGTTTCTGGTGAAACTACTACGTCTTCTCTCTCTTTAAATAAACGTACTCGACCCAACACGTGTTACGTTGCATCAATGTCCATGAAGTATGTAGAAAAATATAGACTTTCGATAGTTAGTTTTATTTGTACTTTTATAAATGTAAGAAAAATCATTTATTTTAATATAAAACTTAAAAGTAACAAAAAATAATTTTGACTTTTAAGATTAAATAACAAAACTTTATATTTTTGAAGTACAAACTTTCTTATACTTATATAAACTCTTGTATATTTATTAAATCGTATACAGATTTGAAATTGCCAATATTAAATTTCTAACATTTTTGTGCAAAAATTTTATAAAAGTTTTAAAAACTTAAAATTTTTTACATTAATAGTGAATATAAGTAACATAATAAACATGTATTAAAAATGTTAATCAAAATTAAAGTAAATTTTAAATATTCTTAAATCTATCAAAATTCAACTCATTTATTTCTCAACCTACTAGCACCATATTGAAAATAATTTATAGCGCCCTCACATACTACTCATATAAACGTGCATAATAAACTACTAAACAGATTTAATACTTTTTAACAATGTTTACCGTACGTAATAGATTTTAATATTGATATAAGTGTATGTAATTGTATTGTTTAAAGGATGATCAACATGAATAGAAATTCTCCAAATATTTTAGTAACAGGTAAGTGTAATACCAGTATTTAAGAAAAATAAAATAATATAACAATAATCATTTCATAACTTGCGCATTTATTTCTAGGCACACCTGGAGTAGGAAAAAGTTTAATGTCTCGTACTTTATCCGAAAAAACCGGATTAACCTGGATTGATGTTAGCAAGTTTGCTATTGAAAAGGAATGTCTAGAAGAGTATGATGAAGTTTATCAGTGTCCTATTTTAGATGAAGACAAGGTAACTTGAAGCAAATTTTTAATTAAATTTGAAATAATGCACAAATAATGTATTTTTCATTGCAGTTATTGGATGAAATGGAAGGACTTATGTGTGAAGGTGGAAAAATTGTTGACTATCATGGAGCTGATTTTTTCCCAGAAAGGTGGTTTGACATTGTTTTTGTATTAAGAACAGATAACACTATTTTATATGATCGTTTGAGAGAAAGAGGCTATACAGGGAAAAAGTTAGAAGATAATATTGATTGTGAAATATTTCAAACTATTCTTGAAGAAGCAAAGTTAGCTTATAAGGAAGAAATAGTTCATGAACTGACAAGCAATAATCCAAATCAAATTACAGAAAATGTAAATAGAATATGTCAATGGATTGAGCAATGGACAATAGATAATCAAAAAAAATAACTTAATTCTATGTGTCTTGTTATTTTATTTTTTATATGGTCATGTCTTTATACATACAGTGTTTTAAAAAGTAATAAGGTATTGTTTAGGGCATAAACAATGAAGAAATGAAAACGAATTAACAAGAATAATCAAATGTTCTAATATTTAAATCTATAAGAAACAAATATATTGCAACATATTTATCACATAAACAGTATAATTTTATACAGGAAAATTAATGTATATATTAAAAGTACTCTACATTGTTGGAAATTATGTTTTACTCTATGATACCTAAATCATATCTCAATTTTTTTAATTTGTTACTTATACTATCATAATACTTCATACGTATAAGAAGGGATTCTGCTTTTTTGATATTTTCTTGCTTAAATGCATCTGTTATTTCCCTATAGAAAAGATATTTTTATTAGTTGGTGGCAAAACATTAAAAGCATTAATTTTTAAATGAAATAAATATTACATTGTCAAACCATTTAAAATACTCTCATTCTCCTGTATTAGTTTTTTTATTTTTTCTTCGTTATTTGCAGCATCTTCCACTTCTTCGTTTTTTTCCATAATTTCAAATAAAAATTCTTTATCCACATTATTTGTTCCTTCTGATATCATTATGTCATTTAACTTTAGCATATATAATCCTCTTTTTAAAGGATGTAATAACGTGCTATAAGCTTCATTCACTAATGTTGATAAGGTTTCAGAAAGTTGCTTTTCTTTCTATAGAAATAAAATGAAATATTTTAATATATATGTCAGTATCTCTATCATAACCAATCTTACTTACCTCAGATTTAGTACTAAATTTATCAGGGTGCAACACTTTTTGAAGCTCTTTGTATTTTTTTTGAATTTCCGATATATTAATATCGTAACTTTTCGCAATGCCTATTATATCAAAATAAGTTAAATTTTCAGGTGGTTCTTGTAGAACTTTGCATTTAGAACAAAACAAATCAGATTTATATACAAAATTACAGTTCCAACATTTTAATGGACTATCGCTTGAACGCTGTGATACGTTTGAATACTGTGATTTGTTTGTTAAAATTAACGAAGGGATATAATTTTTATCTACATAATATGAATGTATATTTTGTTGCTGTTGTATAAAGTTTAAATATAAAACATTATATTTTTTTGTAAAATTAGAAAGTGTTTTTCTCAAATACATATTTTTAACACGAAGTTATCATAACCTTGTTATTTATCAATATTAAGATAAATACTTATAAGCACTTTTAACTAAGAACAAAAGGTGAATAAGTATTAAATGTTTGTTAAGCGTATAAACTGTCAATGATTTGACATTAAAGCCTAATATATTTATTAATAGTAAAGTAGCTCGGTATCAGTTATATAGTTCGTGGTTCTAGTTATTATCAATAGGGAAACATAGTGTTTTAAGTAAAGTTTTATTTATATATTAAAAATAAACGTCTTATACAAACATGCCGACTTATGAAATGCCATTATTATTACGATTGTCAACCAAGGTAATGTAATAATTTACAATATTTAATATGTTTCATGACATTCAATTTGTTTGTTAACCTAGATATATTATGTGTTAATATGTAAAGCTTACATTTATCAGCAACGAATTATAATTACAGGCGGAATATACAACTGCTTTAAAAACTGTGGCAAATTCAATATTTGAAACAGGTGGATTTATTAGAAAAATTGAAAATTGGGGTACTAAAGAACTTCCATGTAAATCAGTTGCCCATGGTAAAACTCATACGCATGCTAAGTACGTATTTGTTTTAGTTTTTTTGGAGAAGTATATAATATGTGTTGATTCATTTATTGTAATTATGCAATGTTTGTGATTTTCAGTCATTTTATGATTTGTTTCGATATATCACCATCTCAAGTTTCCAAGATCGATGATGATTGTAAAAGAAACATAAGTGTCATTAGAGCAAAAATATTTAAACCATCTGAATCAACAAAACAGGAATGTACACTACACGAAGAATTACTACCTCCATCTTATAGGTAAATACTCTTTAATTTTAAGCAACATATTTAATAAATCTTTATTTTTGATAGATATTTTATATATATTTCTTATTTTACAGACCTAAGCTTCAGAAGCTTTTGGAAGAAGCTAGAAAACGTAAAGGTGCTGAAAATAAATTTAAGTATAATTCTAGTCTTGATTATTATCCTTTTATGAGATGAATGAATTATTTGTTTATTATATAATGTAGCTTGTACGGTGTAAGAATAAAATGCATAAAAGTTACCAATTTGTTTAAATGTATAAATATAGGTATAAGTAAAATGAAACAAGTTAAATGAAAATAATTTGTTTGAAGGAAGGATCACTTTGTTAAGTATTTTTAGATCGTTTATTAACTCATATTATCAATACATTATGAAAAATTATTTTTATAATCATCAAAAAATATTTGTACAAAATACTTAATATAATTATATATCATTTATCATTATACAATAACTATAATAGTTATCGTCTTACGCGCAACATGAATTTTTTAAAGTATAATTTGGTTACACTGTAACTCGTAAGGGATTTCACAATAACAGTCACAGAGCAACTAGTTGTATATACCAGCAACACTGTTTTATAATCTATCTGTAATATTTAACAAATACATAGCCACGTTACCCAATTGTATTTAGTGGCGTAATATACTTTCCTTGTTTATATTTGCAAATAAATCGTTTTCTTGTTAAAGAATTAATTTTTTAACAGCTTGTAATACATTAATAATGTATATATATTATAATTCAAAGTATACTTCTTAATTTTCATAGATCGAGCATACACATACATGTACCTCGTTTCCTCGGACAAATTTCATATTGTACTTCACTATCTCCTAGTTTAAATGCATAAAAAGTCGTCTAGCATGCGCGAAGATGCGTTTTGTGCACCATTTAGAATTAACTTGGACCACGACAAGAAATATTGTTGTACAATGAAATTTTCTCCATAAGTCTAGTGTATCGTAAAGATAAAATAAGAAACGCGAGTGAAAATGGAATTTCTTCGAACGATATTTAGACGAACAGGTTTACATATGTCTGGTATTCCCGAAATTAATGCCACTCTGATTAGCACCCTTATTGCTGCCGTATTGCAGACTAATCACACCCTGTCCAGCCCTTAATTGTTCTTCGGTAAAGTTACGTATATTTTTGTCCGCTTCTTTTGGTCCGATACTTGGTTTACCATAGTTGCCCGCCTAAACATGAAAAGTCCCAAATTAGAACAACAACGCCAAGTTTGTTATCAATAAACGAAGGTTCATCCTTTTCACAAGCAACAACTAAACTTCTGTAACTTTTTCCTGTCTAATGCTTCAAATAAACATAGAATAGCTTCGTCGATAGTGCCAACATGGACGAAACATTGAAGATCCTTCGAAAGATCGTGACTAACATTCGAAAGCCTCGAACCATTCTAGTCAAGGTAAGCTGAACATTTTGAAAAGAGGAAAAGATATTACAGGTGTACCTTTCTACCGAGGGATTGCAAACAGATTACGACTGAATTGAGATTTTGTCTCTCCCAGAGATCAACAGTCTGGAAGGTCTCTTGGGCTGGGACACCTAGCATTCTTGCGGCCTCGAGGAACGCGTTGATGTTCTCCATACACTTGAAGGCTAAGTTGGTCTTGTTAATCTTTTTCACCGAACCTTCCTTAATATCGTTTACCAGCCTGGAAAGGAAGGAACCATAATTAATACAGAGAAAATGGAAGAAAAATTAGTAGATATCGTTTCACAAAGCGTAAGTACTTGCAAAGAAGGACTCCGTCTCTCAGAGTTTCAAAGAAATTATCCATGTCTCCATTGGTGTTTATATTCTCACCAGTAATCGTCTTGATCCATTCCAAACATTCCTGCGCCAGCTCCTCGCTGTATTTGCTATTGATCTGTAACAGAAACGTATTTACGATCACCGGCTGAGTTTTCCACGAAAGCTCTGGAGGATTACGACGTAGCACGAAGTATCAGGAAAGTAAAACGAAGGACAGATTAAAATTTTCGTCGACGAGTCGTGGTGTTTGGAAATTTGAAATTACAAGGGAAACCGAGATTTCTGTGTGGTTTTAATTCGAGTTTTATCGTGTCGCAGATTCATCTTCCGAGCTCGAGGGGCACGGACCACTAGCGACTGCTTGTTATTAATTATGCGATGTGCCAGTGATCCAAGTAACACATCCTGTAGGTCTGCGACACGAGCGTGGTCGGAGTCACTGACCCAACTTGTTTAAACACTTCGCTCGTTGTTTCTTCGAGGTGCCTCGCAAATCTTCTCGGTGAACGCAAGCATCGATTCGGAGAAAGTTTCTGCGTTGCTTAAGAAGATAGGAAACGTATTCCCGCTTGCTCATTGCCAAGAAGGTTCTCTCAGAGGTGGGCCTTTCTTTTGCCCCTGTTACGAGATACTTATTACCAAATATTTATCGATTCGCGAAGAAAGCCTATTTTTACCAGTCGATAAAACCTAATCAGCCAAGGCTCATCGGTGGATAGAGATGATAACCTCGGAAGGAGTCCCGCGAAGGATCAACTTTCTACTTTAACTGCGAAGTAAAAGATCGGCAATTCCTTCGATCACTTTCGAGTATCAAACTCGTTTCTGAATCCAGGATCTTACAAAAGATGTTATGAAAGAGCATGGCAACAGCACAACGAAGTTCGTGTATCCCCAAGTCCGTGGAGAACGCGTAATGGGCGCACAGTTATTCACGTAAAGGCTACCTAAAAAGGAGAGGTTCGTAAGCATGGACCGTCGCATTCATCCCGGTGCAGTATGCATATGCCGTTAGGCATACGGTGTCTTGATCGTGATGTATTTCACGTGCCTTCGTCGTAAAACCACCAGTCTCGCGATGGTGTGCATGCAATTAGAATAACATACGAGCGAGTCTGCGTCTGGCAACCTCGACCAAAGCGTGTTCCTAATCGGAAATGGCCAATTTTTGGAGCATCTTACCCAAGTATCCTAGCAGACAGGTTTCTCTTAACGATTCTAATTTCTCCTCTTCATTTTCTCTCTTATCCTTCCGTATTGGATAAATCGAACGATTTGAACTGTGAGATGAACCGTGAATGGGTAATTTAATCGAGGAAACCGCTATTAAACGAGGATCGCATCGCGTCGATGGCGAATTACAAAGCAAATCGTGAACTTTTTTCCTCTATACTAATCAGGAAGTGTAGAAACAATGGGCAGCCTCGTGCGAAGAAGTTTCACGCTAGAAGTATTCACTTTCACCCGTTGAAATTGCACCTCCTTCGCGAAGTAAGAACACGCGTGTGCAATTACGATGAACCATTAACGGAATAATGGCGATTGTTAAATTCGAAGCGTTCGAGGTTTCACGGAAGGGAGTCCTGCTTCCCCGAGCAGCCTTATTACCCGGCTATTTCATGGGACATTTTGTTGTTAAGGCTCACCTCTGTCTACGAGACGCCGACCATAATGCCTTTGTATACAAGCAAACCTTTTTCTCCGTTTAAACCTATCTCGCTCCGGCTCGAACGCGTCGTTTGCTATCATGTTGCTCTAGTATTTCCCTATCTTCTCGTATCTTAGTTTTGTTATAAATGTTTTCAAGTATGTTACGTTGTTATCGCAAGACCACACAGGATTATCGCTATCATTCGATCACGGAATCTTAGACTCCCTAGGTGTTTGGAAAACAAGAGCAAATAAATGTTACATTAACGACGCAGAAGATTACGCGCTATTCGTAATATCGTGCACCATTCCTCTGGAAACGTCTTTCACGAAATAGCACGAACCTTCCTCAACGTTCTCGAGCGTTTAGGCCACGTCGAAGGAGCTATAACAGGTAAACCGACGTTGCAAATGTTCTCTTCTGCCTGTTTCCTCGTAGCCAACGATAACGCTCGAATGTTCCAACGCTGTCCACTATCTTGCCGATATACACCCACGATGTGGAACGCAGGCCATGTAGATGCGAATTCTATATTTAGGTATTAAGTAAGCGCACGATAACTTCATTAACGAGAGAAGAATGACGCGCGGGAAGCGTCAAAAAATACTCGCCGTTTAGGGCAACCGGGAGGAACGAGGCAGACATTGCCTCCAGGAAAAGAAACGCCGTGCGATTATGAAAGCACCTTTCCGATTACTTAACACGCGATTACAATATCAGCGATTCTTTCGAGTTCGTAGCTATCCGGGGTGATTTGCATACACTGCGTCGTTACTTGCTCCGTAATTTCCCTTGTGCAATTATTTGCGTGCGTCCTAATTGCGCGTTTCGCTTTCGGTAACGTTTGCTGTATTCGTTGCAAATTTTTATACGGGGAATTTTAATTATCTTGTCCATTATTGCTGCCTCGCAGTGCAGAGTCACGGTTGATGGTAAAGGAAGATCGATGGACGCGACTACACCTGAGCGAGGAGTGCTCTAGACGAAGTTTAGGGTGGTATCGAGATAACAAGGTGTATAAAGCATACGAAACAACGATATTATTGGAGAAATATAAATATTGGTATCGTCGGTGTTTTTTTTTTTCGCGAGATAAAGCGACGAATTTAAAAATAGTCCTCGCACGATAGACCTGCGTTAATCTATTTAACCTTACATAAAACGTGTACATATATTGCTTATCGTTACGCCAGTCTTCACGAAGGCCGTGTTTAGGCCTCACGAGAGTCTCCGAGGTAAAGCGAGGAGTTTAGGGACAGGGTGTGACGTCTACCTATATAGATTCCGTTGCATACCAGACGATCTTGAGGCCTGGTTCTTCTCGAGCAGGCTGCCGAAGTTCGAAGGGTGTGGTGGAGTCTATTGTGTTGAAAATTATGCGGGGTTACAGTCGAACCCTCGTCTGTATCATTTTTCTTGCTCCTCTCGAAGACGGGTGATGCTCAGAAAAAGTACGCTCGTGTCCCTGCTTCGTACGCCATTTTCTCTGCCATCGGGAAGAATGGAGGACGCTCTGTTCCCCAATCTCGATTCTCCAAAGAATTTCTCCCATTTCGATGGAAACGGCATATTTATCGTTCTCTCACAGCGTATCGCGGTTAAATAACCTAACTTTTTAAGCGACATAGTAGCGACGTGTTGACCGGTACGTTAGATAATTCTGTTACTTGATCATTGCACTTGGCGCGATTAGATATGGCATATTTGGGGAGCTTCGAAACGTCGTTCAGCTTTTGTTTATCTTTATGTTAGCTTCCTGTTATTCTTAGACGTCGAGAATATTTCAGCTTCGTTATTATCTTTTATTACGTGCATCTGGATTCAACGTTCAATAACAATGCGGACTTTGAATATTCCGTTTCGATTCGTCGATCATACTTGTCGAACGGTTGTCTCGAGTATTTTCATTCGATTAAATCGGTGCGAATTTTCCGTGGAAGGAAATTTTTTAACTCGATTAAACCGATCTGAACGTTGCTCATGATGATTGGCCGACTGGAAGAGAGAAGCAGTGGATCGCGATAACGCGAATCGTGCCCGCAAAAGTCGCTCGTAGAGCAGATTGTTGCGAGTCTAAGAGTGCGTCAGTCGTCGGGGCAAGTGTTTGCAATTAAAGGATAGCCTCGTGTCTTCGTGGCACTTGCGACAACGACGCTTTTAATGGCGTTCCAGCTCGTTCACGGTCATGAAAATTGGGTCAGAGGGCTGGCCATCAATGAACCGGCAGACAAATTGAAGGAATTGCTCTTCTCCGAGAGCCTGCCACCAGCGAAATCGTTTTCCTCGTTACACTGACTGCGCTTAGATTAATTTATTGGCCGTAGAATTAACGCTGTTAACCAACTTACGATTGCTGAGATGAAACGGTTGCTCTTCGCCTGATTGATGAAGCATAAATCAAGGTATCTCTCTTGAGACTGTCAGTGATCTTATGGCAAATAATACGGAAGCCTCGCGAATAACGAGACTAGATGTGTTTACGTAAATTCATATTTCCATGAAAGCGAGAAAATGTTTGAATTATTTCGCGAACCGAAGGGAAATAATTGCCAGTTGTACTTTTCTCATCCGAGATAATCTTTCCTGATTACAAATAAGACAATTGTGACACTATTAGCAAAAATGAAGATTAGATAGAACTATTTTACAGCCAGCACGGATTTAGTTATCGATCGAGGCGATAAGAAATTGAAGGATTCAATTGCACAGCGATTTTTCCAAAACTATATCTCTAGTATTGAATAAATATTGAGACGATATCGAGGCGATATTGACGCACAAATCGTATGAATCTCGTACTTGTTGGAATTTTCGCGATTCGTTGTATCACGATAAAGATTGATATCGCAACGTTGCGTGGAATTTTCTCAAATAAAATTCATCTCTTCGTTCGAACCCAATGTGCTTGCTCCCACGGCGATCGCAATGAGCGTGGTCCAGGATTCTATTTGGCGAATCGAAGGAAAAAAGATCGAATCGCATCGATTACATCGATTCACCTTGATCGCAAGCGCAAGGAGAACCGCATTTATAGAGCGTCCCTCGTTCGACCAGTTTCCATATCGGTGTAAAAATTCGCATCGATGACAAAAGGTTTGCTCCTGCAACGATCCAGTCGTTTAACGATCTCTCGAAAGAGAGATCACCTTTAAGGAAGATCGGATTTATCATAAATCTAGTATATACAAACGGCCCACTTTCTAACATTTTAAAAACTCACTCGAATCCAATCGTAATCCTTTTTCCACGTTGCTTCATCCAATTATGAACCAGTAATTTATTACTATATATTATTATAGTATTAATTTGGTATTAATAATATATATTCTTCTATATTCGTATTTTCGTCAATTCCATTTCTCTATGTATATTCTTCAAATAAATCTCAAATTTTTCATTCCTTTAAAATTGTTTAAATTCTTCGTTACATCTTGCTCGTACGGAAGAGCCGTCAGCTACAGGAA